GCCACACACACATAAATAAAAATAAAATTAAAAAAAAAAAAAAAAAACTCTTTGTTTAAAAAAAAAAAAAATACAGAGTGCTGGGCACTGGGAGAGGGGGACGATGGAGAGGCAAACCCTGCCCTGGAGGAGACTGTGGCCCAGCAGGGACAGGGGTGGGCATATAGCCCATGGACATTTGCACAGAACTTGATGAGCCTCTCTCAAAAGGCTCTGCAGTGTGTGGTAGGAACCCAGCAAGTAGAAGGAGTGAGTCACTTTGGGGATGAGGAGGACACTGAGGAACCCTTAAAATTTGAACTGAGGGGCCAGGGAGATGGCTCAGTGGAATAAGTGCTTCCCTGGCAAGCACAAAGGCCCGAGTTCAATCCCCATTTCCACAAAAAAAAAAAAAAAAAAATTGAACTAGATCTTGAGGAGTAAGTAGAGCTTTTTGGAGATATACAAAGCACTCCAGGCAGGGGAACCAGTGTGGCATAGGTATGGTTGTGTGTGGGCGGGTGTGTGTGGCACTTTAGGAACCCCAAAGGGTTCCAGCACAGGGTGTGAAGGGACATGACAGTGAAGTAAGCATGCTCTGCCAAGCAGCTTGGACTTTGCATTCTGGTAGTAATGGGTATAAGTAGAGAAAACAATAGCATTGAACTTGAATCTTCCAAAGAGTGCTCTGGCTTCCGTGGAGATGGACTGGGGAAAGAGTGAGTGTGGGGTCTCTGTAGGAGGTTGCTGCAGTAGTCACACACAGTGAGAGCTGATGAGGTTTGGATAGGGACAGAGGTGGCAGTGGGGAAGAAGGGTGGAGATCAGAGCTGTCTGTGGGAGGAAATCAGCTGCAGTCTGGGTGTGGTGTATTTGTTTGCATGTTTGTTTTTTAGATAGGGTCTTGCTGTCTAGTTCTGGCTACTTTTAAGCTCACTATGTATCCCAGGCTGGCCTTGAACTTGCTGCAAGCTTCCTGCCTCAGCCTCCTGAGTACTAGGACTACAGGCACCTGTCACCATGCCCATCTTGGAAGTGTTTGGAAGTGAAGGTTGAGAGAAGAAACTGTGGCAGCCCCGTGGTTGTTGCCTTGGGTGACAGAGTAAATGATAGTGCAGATAAGGTGGCTCTGGAGAAAGGTAGTAGCCAGTGGAATCTGACAGGTCTATTCAGTTAGGCCTGAGCTCACCCTCAAGGGACAGGATCAATTGCAAAATCCTGTGGAATCCTGCTCTGCTTTGGCACAGGCCTCCCTCAAGTGCTGTGTGGGTCAGCATCTGGAAGAAGGCAGCTTCCTTCCTTAACCTTTCCTATCCCTGGGTATAATGAGGGGCATGACTGTCTCAAGTGGCAGAAATTCCAGTGTAGCTCTTCTCTCTCTGAGACAGCCCTCCTGATTCAGCAAGCCACAGCCCGTGAGATCTGAACAGCTGCAGATCCTTGAGGCAGAAGTACCTTTATCAGCACCCCCTGGAGACAGATCTAGAAAGAGACCTTCAGATTGGATTTACTGCCTGATGCTGGGTCAGCAGAATCAGTCCTGTGTGTTAGGAAGGAGAGGCGTCTGCACAGGCCATCTGGACTCCGAATCATCAAGGAAGTGAGAGGAAACTTACCCTAGTGCTTTTGCCCTGCTAAGTTCTGAGGGAGCTAGGAGCTGTTCTTGAAATACATTGGGCCACCAAAAAGACTGTGCTGATGGACGTGGCCTCCAACAGAACTTTTACAGTGTGGGAGATTGTCACAGGATTTGTCCTTGGGTTATGCTGCACTGAAGATAGAAGGAAAGTGACCTGAAACCAAAGCATTTTTGACTCCTCCACCTGCTGTGGTGACACACTAGCCTTGAAGGTGGCCCTGGGGCCCACAGCTGCTCCTGCATATCCTCCCAGGGTCTGTAGTCAAGAGCCCAGAGGGACAAGGCCAGTATTGCTTGTTTTGGTTTACTTACAGTCGTGGAGATTATATTTTGGCATATACACATGCCTATCTGGGTCATTTTGACTACATCGTGTCCCTTCTTGAGTGTAATTTATTTCATTCTCTCTCTCTCTCTCTCTCTCTCTCTCT